TTGGTTGGGGAGGAAAGATATACCAAACATTTGCTTGAATGAAAACATCTGCTTTTCCCTTCTGTGCCTGTTTATGTCTATGAACATGCCAACTGGGAAACCCACTTGCACAATTCAAAAACCAGAAGTCTCAGCCTGTATCATCAGTGAGTCATACCTTAATTTAACTAAATTGACTCTTCTCCCTTCTGTTCCAGAAATATGATTCCCAGTGTTGCCCAACTGACTGCGTGCAGCTAACCAGGTACATGTGTTTAGTATCACTTTCAAAGGCTTTCTTGTTTGCCTGCTTTTTGAAGAGTCTGTACACGTCCACCCCATTTGGTGTCAGGCTGCTGCTGGGCTCACGTGGCTCCAGGAACAGTCCAGCAGCCCTCTGAAGGGAAGACATGGGAACAGCCTGACATCAGGGGAAGGCTGCCTCTCTCACAGAAGAAAAATCATAAACCAAAGCAAGTTTGGCTTCATTAGAGTCCTGGATAAACCAGAGGTAGAATGCAATTTATTTTGTTTTAATGTGCACTTTTATGGCTGGCAGTGGTTAGATTTTCTCTCTGTGAGTAAAGGAAACCTACGAATAACCTCATTATGCCAATACCACTTTGCACCTTCTCCCTTGATCTTAAATGTAATGTCTTGGCTTTCATCTATTTTTACAGAGACAAAAAGAAATATCATGCCACTGTCATTTTCTGTGTGTTAAAATTTTCCATTTCTCATAATGAAACTAGAATAAGGTGAGGGGAGTGTTTCTTTTTCTGACTCTTCTTACATTAAAGAGTCTTAGGGTTGTGTTCGTTTCTACCCAGCTGTGCTGTTTGGTAAACTTGCATGAGCAATATCTGTGCTATTGCTGAGAGAAGCTCACCAGTCCAAGCTCCCTAGGGCCCAGCCCCACACCTTCTCCCTGGGACAGAGGGACATCACACAGCTGCCCCAGGTACCTGCTGTTCACCTGTCTCCTCAAGTAATAAGAGGCAGAATGTTATTTACCAGGTATTTCAATATTAACTCAACCTTACTTAAAAAGTTATTTTCCACTAAGAAAGCAACTACTGAACAAACCTTTTAGCTGTTTCCAGGGACTGCTGTTCTGCCAGTTCCTTCTGCAGTTCCCTTTCCTTGGCCTCCTTCTGCCCAATAGGGCAGTCCTCAGGCACAGTGAAGAGTGACAGTGCATCTTTGCTGTCTTCTTCCCGCAGAACTTTCGCAAAGACCTTCTCTGCCAGAAGTCGCACGTGCTCGTCAACCTCCGAGATGTTCAGCTTTGGAAACTGTCGGGGCATCTCGGCTGGGAAGGGAGATAGGTGACAAAGTTATAGCTACAGGAATGCAGATATGGGGGAGACTGGGCTTTTTTTCAGAGCTTAGGGCGAAAGCAGAACAAAGGAGAATGCATAATTTAAACTAGTATGCAGTACACAAGAACCACGGATATCCACTCCACTTTTGGAGCCATGCTAGTTTTCACACCAGGAACTCCTCAGTATGTCCACAAAAATTCCTAAGAAACGTATGTAGAGCTGTGCCAATAGATTCCACTTACTTGCACAATCAGACAGGCTATTATCTGGGATACAGTGCACACTCAGCTGTATGTACTTGCACTGAACGTGGAAATCGCATTCACTCGGTTGCCTGACTTCTTCCTTGCTCAGCAACTTCAAACCAACAGGCAAGTTAGAAAAGAAGGTTGCACATTTCTACCAAACCCCATCCCTTCCACAAATCAGTAAGTCACAGAGCTGCTGTGAAGTAAAACAGTTGCAGAACAGGAGCAAATATGCTGCAGTTAACTCCGTGACTTTTTTCCGTTCGTTTTTAGCAGTTGATATCTTGCTTTTGAATGCATGTAGGAAGCAGATAGGATATGGACTTTCATTTCTGCTTGGCATTTAAATATTATTTTTCAAAAAGAAAACGTTTTATACTTTAAATTTTTAAATAGCCTTTCATCACAAAACACTTCCATTTTTTTCCAACATCACTACTAAAACACCATCTTCAGAGTTTATTCTGTAGTTTCCTGGCTTTATTTTTGTTCTGTTTTCATACAATGAAGAAGGTGAATTTTAACATAACTTGTAGCATTCCACAGGGAAAAAATACAGTGCTGGTAAGCTACTGACCAGCATTATTTATTACGTACTGTAATGCTTTCTGAGTGCCTTCAGTATGATGGAGTTTGTAACAAATAAGATTAAAATCTTATTACGTAAGTTAAAAATAGCAACGAACATGTCACAACAAATGGATCCAAGCACTGCCAGAATGTGAAGTCTGGGTCCAAAACTGGAATTTCAGAATCCTTTTTGGTTACAAAAAGGGAAACATATTCAGTAAGACAGTATTCGTTAAGTAACGACATATGCTGGAAGTCAGCACAGAGCATGGCAGTTTTTTATCACTCCAGGCACAACTTATCAGGGCCCCCATTACAATTTTTCTGTAGGCATGCTGCAGGTTTCACATGCTGACATGTGATCCTTTCGATACGTGAGCCCCTTTTCAGCCTAAAAGACTCTAATTAATGTTTACTTGTTTTCACAGTTGTTTTCAGAGCGGTGTTGCTTTTATTCTAAAAGCCAATATAGTATAAAAAAATTGGTAAAACTTATATTGGACCATAAAGTGGCAATTTAGTGATCACTTACATTACTTGTCATTCTTATTTTGTAAGAACCAATTCACAGCCCAGTGGAAAAGCATGGTGGGTGTTAAAAGAACTGTGGATCTGACTCTGTGCCGGTTTTCTGCCTGCAGAGTACTTGTTTTTTAATCAGTATCAAGTCCTCATAAAATCCAGTATAACTACAGAAGAAATTTAAAAATGCATTCATGTTTAGCTGAATGATGACAATGCACTACAATGCCTCAGAAGCATCCAAACTTAGATTCACTTTCTCCATTTCAGCCCTCAATGAAGTCATAGCAGTCTTTCCACTGATCTCAGTGAACACAGCTGTCAGCAACAGTACCTGCCTCACATGTTGCTGCCAGCAGGAAGGGCCTTTGGGGCCACTTCAGCCGGGCAAAAACTGTCTTTGTGGCTACTGAACTACTGTAAGAGTTCTAGCAATGCTAGTTCAAAGTGAAATAATAATGTTTCTGCTGCTGCTAAATCAGCAATTTAAATATTTTCGGTGCTAGCAGGAAAAAAAAAATCAATGGGCTGTATGTTCATCGTTGGCTGAACATTTTTCTAGTCTAAAGGAACTTTTTCCTAGAGCATTGTGATCAGAACCAGAAAAGCAGTAGGAAACATACTGCATGAGAAATGATACTGTATTTTAAATCCTTACAATAAGGCAGTGAGAAGGCAGAAAGTATAGACATAAGTACAAACCTCTACTGATCAAAGTTTTTTTTTCTTACTCCATTCTCCACTCAAGCACGACAGAAAAAGGCATAAAACAGTTTGAAATGTAGGTTCAGCCACATCACTGCTAGGTCATGTCACTGAAAGGAGTCCAATAAACCTAAAATAGTCATAAGGCACTTCATGCAATACTCGTGCAAGCTGTGCCATCCCAAACTGGAAAAGGGATGAAGCCCTTGTATCCAAGTTATCCTTCTATAGAAGTGCTGTCCTTTGCCCAAGGTGAACGACAACTACACATCTTAATGGGATGGGGAAGGGGAGGAATGCCCTCCAGTAAATGCTCTTTCGCTAAATATCTCGGTCTCACAGAAAAGCTGCTTTGGGTGCTCTTTAGCTCTGCACCTTTGCGGAAGAAGAGAAACCTATTTCCCCTGAAGCAAGCCGCATTAAAAAAAAAAAAAACAAAAAAAACCGATGGAATGATTACTTAAAAAGCAATTATCGAGCAGGAATTTAATGGGCTTGCATACATAAGGAGCACACGCCGCGAAAGCCGCCGCCGCCGCCCCCGATCCCCCGCGGGCAGCGCCGGGCGCCGCATCCCCGGGCAGGTGGGGCCGGGCCCGCGGGCGCCGGCCGCCGCAGGAGCCCCGCGCGGGTCCGTCCCGCCCGGGGCGGCGGCCACCAAGGTCACCCGCCACACGCCCCGCCCCGGGCAGCCGGCGGGGGCACCGAGCGGCCCGGGCAGAGCCATGCCGGGGCCCGCGCCGGGCCCCGCACCGGGGCTCCCGCCGCCCGGGAGAGACGCCGCGGGAGCCGCCGCCGGAGGAGAGGGAGGAGGAAGGAGGGCGGAGGAGGAGCCGCTCCCGCCAGATGCCGCCCCGCCCCGCTGCCGCATCCCCCGCCGGCCGCCCCGGTACCGCAGTGCCGCGCCAGCCCTGCCCCGCCCTTTATGGCCCCCGGGCGGAGGGGCCCCCTCGCCGCCGCCTGCCTCCGCCGCAGGTGGGGCGGGCAGGGGTGCAGCCCCCGCCGGGCGAGGCTCCGGCCCCCAGGGCCGCCCCGCGCCCTGCCCGCGGCCCCGGGGGGGCTGCGCTGCCCGCCCGGCCCCGCCCCGGTACGGGGGCGAGCGGCGGGCGGGGGGCGCCCCGTCCCCTACCTCGGTGGGGTCTCCGGGGACGCGGCGCTTCGGGCTCCGGCTGCACCTGTGGGGCGGGCAGGGACGGCGCCTCCCCCGCGGGCCGCGGCCTCGGCGGGAGCCGGAGGAGCGGAGGGAAGTCTGCTTGTTCCCTTCCCCGGCCCCTTTCCCTTCGGCGGCTTCGAGGCAGAAGTGGCTCTGTCACATGTCCCCCGGCCGGCGCGGCGGGGAAGGAGGGCGGGAGGGGAAGGAGGGACGGAGGGAGGGAGCAGCCGCCCGGCCCACCTCAGCCCGCCCGGGCTCGCCTCAGCGGTGCCGCCTTCCCGGGCGCCTCTTTCAAAACTCCTCAAAAGGCGCTTTAATGCAGAAAAACTTTGGTTCGAGAGCAGAACATCGCGAGGCTGGTGCGGAGGTGACAGCTGAGGGGTGTGCTGGCCATGTGTCCCCACAAGAAGTGTTTTCAGCGGTGTCCGCCCTTCAGCGGAGCAACGCGGTTGAGGCGCTCGTCTATATTTGAAAAATAAGAAAAAAACCCGGCAAACCCCGAAAAACTTAGTGGGTAAATAGCCCAAGGCAAATAACTGAAGCTCAGAACAAGCGTGACTCAGCAGGTATGAGGATATTAATATGTGAAATATTTTGACCTTATTTTGAGAGGTTCTGGGCCCCAAAGCTGAAAACTTTAGGCACATGTTTGATAAGTTTTGGTTACAATACTTGGAGTCCAGTCTGAAGACATTTAGGTATAGAAGTATCTTTATGATGCAGGGAGGCACTGGGAATGAAGTGAGTGAAGAACAAGGTACTTTCTGTAAAAAGACAATCAGGGTAAAGGTAGATCTCCCAAAACGTGAGGGATCAGGTAGTTCTGTGTCCCCCCAGCTTGGTAAGCATAGAAATGCTCCATTCTTAAACCTCAGGGGATTTTGGCTTCAGAAACTCCTTTACTTCACACAGCTAGTGAAAACGCGGAAATGAAGAGAAAGGAGGTGACCATACCAAGTCTGAGTTGCAAAGAAGACCGGATATTTTGGCTCTTTACACTGGTATCAGCACAATCACCATCATATGCTCGTAAAAAAGGCTAAGGATTATGGCCCCAGCTGTTGTATGAGACGTGCACCAATGCAAAGCATTCGAAAATGAGTCAGCCATAATAATAATAAAAATTTTTAGATCAGCATTAATGCTACAAAAATAGGCATTGTTTCTTAGCTTGAGAAAAAAGACTTATGCTGCGTGTACGTGTTTCTCCCACAGTCACTCTGAATGTCTTCATCAGCTGCTGCCGGCTACACCCAGACGAGCCAAACACCACCCGGAAAACTGCATTCTGTGAGTGTCTGTGTGTGACTCACGGCTGCCCTGCCCACTTGATACGTGAGTAAAGAACACCTGTTGCTGCTGCCCATTCAGTGCACCCCTTGATTACTGAGCTGTTAGCGCTGCATCCTCTCTCCCAAGCGCCTGCCTGAACTTGCCCAAACTTGCCTGCTGTCGTTTGCCTGGCAGTCTGGGCTCCTTGCTGTCCCTCTAATCGTAACTGCGCCCTGCCTGCTGGACTCAGGTATCTCACGGCTTCTCTTCTCAGCTTGGCGAATGGGGCTTGCCTCCAAGCTTGATTTAATCTGCCTTCTGTGGGATGCAAGAGCCTGGAATAGTTCCCTCTTGTGCTGACTTCCTGCCAACCGCAGTGAAAAAAATAACGGTCTCGGAGATAGCTGTGTTTCTGCAGTTTTCTTTCATGAGAAGGGACAGCTCCGTGTTCCCCTAGTGAAGAAAACCTTGCAGTGTGAGTTCACATACTACAGAAGCCAGAGAATTAACACGGAAATGAGACCTTAGAAATGCCTTAATAAAAAAAAAACAAAAACACTTCTATGAGCACTGAAGTGCAAATCCGTAAGGATATAGGACACTTTTTCTAGGTAACCACGAGTATTTAAACGAACTTTCCTTTTGTAACAAGTTGGAAACTCTTAAAGGCAAACTGAGATCATAACTTAGTAAATGCATCTGTAGTAATTGAAGCATTCAAAAGATACTATTGCAGATTTGTAATAAGAGCAGGATGGATAGAAGAATAGGCTAATGGTAATAAATTAACGAGAAAATACTTCAAGTCCTCCCACATTTTGCAGCAGCAATTACTATGATCAGTAATTTTACAAGCTGTGTTCAAAACATACATTTGACTGGTGGGTCCAGTTTCCTGTCCTGTCTCTTCTCTCATAATGAACAATTCACATGTGTCTTCGGGGAATGGAAGTAACATTAGGCTGACAGCAATGAAATAGCATATTTTCAACACAGATGTTGTTGTACTCTTCCATTGGCACCTGCAAACCATAAAGCATTAAACTTTGCTTCCAGACTTAGAACACCTCAGGATTACAGTCAACACCTTGTTAAACATGTGCCCTCTGCCCCATGAAGGAGTCTTTCTGCCAGTCCAGTTTGTGGGTAGGCTATACTTTTATACAACATACTGAAAGTAGTGCAAGTGTCTCCATAATTATTTCAAATGTTGTGATTCCCATTGCAAAATATCAGTACTTTCTGAAGCCATCTGGGTGTTAGTTCTCTTCTTTTGTGTAACAAGCACTACTTCTCTCAGGTAAACTTTGCTATAGAAGAAAAAAGTTATCCACTTCCTTTTACCACAAAGTTACAGCTGATCACATTTATTTATATGATTTTTTTTTAAAAAAAAGTCTGTATTTCTCTTGTGTCTTCAGCTTGTTTTAAGCCTTATTTAGAGATCACTCTTGTGGTGACAGTATGATTGTTCCAGCACACATGGACTGCTCTTTTGCAGTCAGTCTATTTTAACAAAAGGAAATGCAATAAAAGTTTTAAATTCCAGCATTTACTGAGGAATGCAATAAAATAATAAAAAAGCCCTAAACATACATTATTACATTATTAACAATTATTTTTAGAAACAGACAAATCTTGTCTGGGAGATGATTAAAGCTGGAATGAGTACTCATCCAAATGGTCTCTCATTTTCACTTGAGATTGTTTCAGCTGTAATAACATACTGCTTTCATTTGAACGGTGCCTTAAAAGCTAATGGAATTTGAATTCATTTTGTAAATAGTTTCACATAACTGACTGTGATACTGATAACAACAAAACAACTAATGGATCAAATGAAATATTTCAATCTATAACGTAGCCATTAGTGGCACCCAAGCAATATTGGACCTGGTACTTGCTTTTCTGATCTTCAATCAGTTCAGTTAATGATATGCTTGGAGCACATGCATTTACTTATTGAAGGCTTACTGATATTCCAACAGCAAAAAAACCCCATGGTTAAATGAAGTTATCTCCAAAAGCCAGAGGGGAGGTTTGTGCCAAATGTGAAATGTAGATGAATGGCATCATCAAATACTCTCCACTATAAAGGAAGAATCGTTCAACTTTTTAAATGAAATAATATAGAAAATTGTAATCGTTCAAAACGAGAGAAAATTGCTCCACTCAGTTATTGAAATGATACAAAGCAAATCATATATGTTCTTTTTACAAAGCCAAAAAATCAGAAAGCATCATCTTTCTTATCCACTGCTTTTCATAAAGCTTGCAGAAATTATTTGGGCATGTGAGTATTCAGTGCTGTAATTGAATTAGAGCAGTTAAGAGCACTTGATACAGATGTTTGGGTCTTTCTCAGTATTGAGTTAAAGAGGAATTTGAAAATCCAGAAGCTTGGTTCCTACTCTAAATATAAGCAGCAAATGTTCTGTGTTTTGGGGATTGCCCAAGGCCATTCCAGAAGGTATGTGAGAGCAGAACAAGGAGGAGAAACCTTCATTAGGCCAGTTTTTTTCACAAACTCCATCTGGCATAGTGGTTGTGTTCAGAATACAACCATACAAGGTACAGCTACGCTTACAGAAAGTGCAAAATGTTTTTATAATCACTTGCACTGACATTAGGACTGAGAGTAGGTTTGGAATCCAGTTTCTTGGGCTTTTTAAGTCAAGTGACATTCTCCCTTCTGAAAGGATACCTGTGAGTATAATTGTCCTGTAGTATGTTATTATGAAATAAAATACATATAGTATGCAAAGATAAGTCTGTTTAAACCAGAAATAGGAGTGGGAACCATAGACATTGTAAAAGGATGTGACCATTCAGCCACTGCTTTAAAACTAAAGTGGGAAAGTTTCTGTACAGTCGGAATAATAGGACTCTGAAACAACATAACAGAAGTTTTCCATGGGTTTATAAATGGAATATACTGTAATACTTTGCTGCACAAGAAAGCTTTACAAGCAAGATGGGACATTTTGGTGTGTTTGGAATTGTAAGCTGCCATTTGGATATTTGGAAAGCTTTCTTTCCAGCCACTTGGCAAATTCTTTGCTGGCATCAACTGCCTTACCTTGTCACAACATATAAAACACTGATTTAAAACCAGCTCGCCTGAAACCTACTTAGCTTGGACTTTGCAAGTAGTTCCCCTCGATGGAAGACTGCCTTGCTCTGACTTTATACATAATTTATCTGAAATTCTGGAACTGTTCAAAGAAGGAGAGATCTGACTGCATCAGCCAAACCTGTTTGTGTAGCTGAATGACCTTAAATCTGATTCATAAAACAGAGAATTTTTGGAAAGTTACGTTTCACCCCAGTTATGTGCAACACAGCAGAAATAGTTTTTAACCACCCCTCTGGTGTCTAATGCTGTTTTACTCAGCTTTGTTTTAAGAGGAATTTTGTTTGCTCAGAATGCACATAAAATAAAATATTCAGCAAGCAACGGTCTAATAAATTAGACACTGCCAGGGCATGATAAATAATGAAACAGTGTAATTACAGCTCACAGAGGGGAACCCTTTGGTCTATTTTGGAAATCCCTAAAATAAAGAATATTCTGAATTAGGTCATTTCTGCAAAAGTCGGTGCTGGAATCTAACCCGTATGTTTAGAATCGGTTTTACATGTTATGTTTGCAGTGGAAATGCAAATAGTTCCATTAAGTGCTACTCATTTCTGCATTTGTATTACTTTTAGATGGCCACTGAATTTTTTTGTGATAATTTGTGCTAAGAGTTTGCATCTGGGTTCTTTGGCTCTCCTGTTGTAAGCTTCCTTCCCAAACAACAGGTATCTGTGTGGTGCAGATGGAGCACATAACTGCCCAGAAACTGGGAAATGCGAGATATGGTTTAGATGTGACTTTACACAAAGGTCACGTATCCTTAAATGAACTCTGGGCTACTGCAGTCTTCCCTGTCCCCACTGTATCCCCCCTCTTCTCTCTGTTTTACAAGTATATTTTCCAAGTCTCTCCTTTCACAAGAGTGATTGAAACTCTGCAGCCTCCAACCCGGGAGTTCATTTGTACGTAGGGATTCCTGCTGACCACTTCCAGCCCAAATAAACCTTCTCTGTGTTGCCTGTGTAGCACAAAGCAGGCAGAGTTGGCAAGAAACCCAACACAAAATTTTCGTATTCTCATGTAAGAACCTAGACTTTCACCTGGGAGTGGGAATTGCTTTATTATTTTATCCAGTCTGTCTGTGTAAAAAACAGTCTGGCTGAGTAGCCAGGCCTGTGCTTATATTTATGTTTTCACTGTTAGGGTGGTCAGGCACTGGAATAGGTTGCCCAGGGCGGTGGTGGAGTCACCGCCCCTGGAGATGTTCAGGAGGTGTCTGGATCCAGTTCTGGGCAATGTGGTTTAGTGGTGTAGGGCTCATACTGGCAGTGATGGGCTGATGGTGGGACTGATCTCAGAGGTCTCTTCCAACCTTGATGATTCTACGGTTCTGTGATTTTGGATGCGAAATGACTTACAAAGCCCCTGTCCTCTTTCCATAAAGCCCATCTAAGCTGTCAGCCGTGGCGATCCGCAGCCTGTGACACTTCCCATCTTTCTTGTTCCCTGGCCCGTAGGCAGAGCGCGGCACGGTGTGTTCCTGGGGGCGGTTCTCCGGGCGGGCCCCGCCGGGATGCTCCGTGCGCTCCGCTCCGCTCCCGCGGGGGCCGCTCGGCGCCCTCCCCGCGGCCGGGGCCGGGGCCGGGGTTATGTAAAGAGCCGCGTTACGCAAGGAATGCAGATTTACCTTACGTAACAGCCCGTGCCTGCCGGAGCCTCCTCTGTGCGTGCCACCAGCGCCCAGACATTAGAGGGAAAAGCGGTGTCGGCGCTGTCAGAGATCGCTCCGTCCGGCTCCGGAGTGACCTGTTTGCTGCTGTGGCTATTTTCACTCGTGCGGTTTCCTGTAGCTCCCCCCTTTTCCTTAGCCTTGGGGGACATTCCCTTCGGTGAAAACAAGCAGCACACATACCTGAGTCATACTGGTGCCCTTCTCTGGGGATCTAAGGAAGACTTTACTGGTTCATAGTTATTGCACGGAGTGAAGTTAATCCGGTGTGGACAAAGGGAAATTGCAAAGTCCTGGGCATCTCCAGTGCTATGTTGCAGCTGCTGCCACAGTCAGATGACCTGATTCCAATGCCTGTGTCCAAAGGCAGATTTCCAAGTCACTTAAGTGTCTTCAGGGCTAGAAAAAAGACCCCCATAGCTCAGAACTCTGTCTCTAGGAGATATTCGAAGAGATTCCGGAGGTGGGGGCCTGTTGCTGTTTGTTTGCCCTCTTGTGTGCAGGCAGAGCATCCTCAGGTGCTGAACACTTGGGATACTTTCACGGAGTAGTAGATGCTGTCAAGGTTTCTGTGCTCAATACCTTACTCAGTTCCCTCTGTACTAATTTTTGATCTTGCAGCTTTGCACATCTTTCCTTCCTGATTTAGTGACTGATAAGTTAGGGTGGGTGTGTGCTTTGTTTGGGGTGTTTGGGTTGGTTGGGTTTATGTGGTTTGGGTTTGGGGTTTTCCCTTTCCTTTTTTTTCCATGGAAAGGCCTTGAATTCCGGAGGCACCTTGAAGGATTGGTGTACAGGAGTGCTCACCTCAGGGCTTTGCTCTGGTTCTCTTCTTGGACGTTTTTGACCACACACCTTCATACCCCTTCCCTTTTTCACTTGTTGCTAATGCCCAGCCTGCCCCATCAGGAAAACCCTGGATGAACAGAAACAACAGTTGATAGACAGTGTCAAAGACAGAGCAACCCTTTTCCTGTTGTGCCTCACCTGTATTGCTTTATAATCTTTACGAGCTGGAGCTGGAATCTGGACTGTCCTGATTGTTATCAGTCAGTGAATGTCTTCCAAAAATGAGCCCAGTGCCGTTTTCAACTCTGTGTGTTTTGGTGTCCCAACCATCCTATGCTGGTGAGCTCCTTCTCCAGCTTCCCTGTGCGCTGTGAGTGGGGGGTGGACGTGAGCCAGCCATGACCCAACAGTTGTGTGACCAGACACAGCACAGCTCTTGGAGCTTTTTGCTTTTACTGGTTAAGAACAGCTCCAACCTGGACTAATCTCTTGGAGACTCAGGTAGCCAAAAGAGACCGGAGTAGGTGAAAGCAAATATGAAATGAAAGGTGACCTGCTGGGTTAGTCAGCTGTTTGAGTGGCTTATTCCTGTTATCTCCTGTACAATCCAGTGGGATAAGTAGAGAGTAGGGAAACAGCCAGTCTGCTCAGATCCAGACAGTAGTGGGAGAAAAAAAGAGCTTTTAAACTGAGTGCCTGCTTTCCCCGTTATTGAGTTTCTGAGTTTCAATGAACTTTTTGTTTCCAAAACAGGAATATCAAAGGAGTCCAGAACCACATGAATTTCAACAAGGGGAAGTGCTGGATTCTGCACCTGGGATGGGGCAACCCTGGATGTACAGCCAGCCTGGGGAATGAGAGGCTGGAGAGCAGTGCTGCAGAAAGGGACCTGGGGGTCCTGGTCAATGGCAAGTTGAAGGTGAGTCAGCAGTGCCCTGGCAGCCAGGAGGGCCAACCCTGTCCTGGGGGAATCAGGCAAAGCATCACCTGGGGTCACCAGGGATCACCTGGGGTCATCCAGCAGTCAGCCAGGAGTCATTTGGGGTCATCTTGGAGTCATGCACAGGTCACCTAGGGTCATCCAGGAGTCACCTGGGGACACGTGAGGTCATCCAGGAGTCATTTGGGGTCACCTGAGGTCATCCAGGGGTCCCCTGGGGTCATCAAGGTCTCATTTGGAGTCATCCAGGAGTCAATTGGGGTCATATTAGGTCATTCAGGGGTCACCTGAGGTCATCCAGGAGTCATTTGGGATCACCTGGGGTCATGCACTGGTCACTTGGGGTCACCTTAGGTCATCCAGGTGTCACCTGGGATCGTCCAGGAGTCACTTGAGGTCACTTGAGATCATCCAGGGGTCACCTGGGAGTCATTCAGGAGTCATTTGGGGTCACCTGGAGTCACTCGAGGTCATTCACAGGTCATGCAGGGTCATCCAGGGGTCACCTGGGGTCATCCAGGAGGCATTTGGGGTCACCTGGGGTCATCTAGGGTTCACCTGGGAGTCATCCAGGGGTCACCTGGGGTCACTTGGGGTCATTCACAGGTCACCTGGGGTCATCCAGGAGTCATTTGGGGTCACCTGGGGTCACTCGAGGTCATTCACAGGTCACCTGGGGTCATCCAGGGGTCACCTGGGGTCATCCAGGAGGCATTTGGGGTCACCTGAAGTCATCCAGGGGTCACCTGAGGTCATCCAGGAGTCATTTGGGGTCACCTGGGGTCATCTAGGGTTCACCTGGGAGTCATCCGGGGTCATCTGGGGTCACTTGGGGTCATTCACAGGTCACCTGGGGTCATCCAGGAGTCATTTGGGGTCACCTGCAATCATCCAGGGGTCACCTGAGGTCACCCAGGAGTCATTTGGGATCACCTGAGGTCATCTAGGGTTCACCTGGGAGTCATCCAGGGCTCACTTGGGGTCATTCACAGGTCACCTGAGGTCATCAAGGGGTCACCTGAGGTCATCCAGGGGTCACCTTAGGTCATCCAGGAGTCATCTGGGATCACCTGGGGTCATCCAGGAGTCATTTGGGGTCACCTGGGATCACTCAGTGTCATTCAAGGGTCACCTGGGGTCATTCAAGGGTCACCTGAGGTCACCCAGGAGTCATTTGGGGTCACCTGAGGTCATCCAGGAGTCATTTCGGGTCACATTAGGTCATCTAGGGAGTCATTCAGGAGTCATTTGGGGTCACCTGGGGTCATTCACGGATCACTTGGGGTCACCTTAGGTCATCCGGGGTCACCTGGGGTCATCCAGGAGTCATTTGAGGTCACCTGAGATCATCCGGGGTCACCTGGAAGTCATTCAGGAATCGTTTGGGGTCATCTGGAGTCACTCGGGGTCACCTGAGGTCATCCAGGGGTAACCTTAGGTCATCCAGGAGTCACTTGGGGTCACCTGAGGTCATCCAGGGGTCACCTGGGGTCACCTGAGGTCATCCAGGGGTCACCTGGGGTCATCTTTGGTCACCCAGGTGAGTTTTAGGGTGTCTCTGGTGAGGTGGGCATAACTTTTGTGGGGGTTTGAAGAAGGTGGGTGGGGTTTAGAGGGGGAAGGGGCTTCTTGGCTGTCCCGTGTGAGTGGGCGTGGCCTGTGAGCTCCTCCAGGTGAGAGGGTGTGGCCTTTGGGCCAATCCAGGTGGATCTCAGGGGGTCTCAGGTGAGGGGATTGTCCCGCTCTGCTCTGCACTGGGGCGGCCTCACCCAGAATATTGTGGCAGTTTTGGGCACCACAATATAAAAAAGACATGAAGCCATTAGAGAGTGTCCAAAGGAGGGCTGTGAAGATGGTGAAAGGCCTTGAGGGGAAGCCGTGTGAGGAGCAGCTGAGGGCACTTGGTCTGTTCAGCTGGAGAAGACTGAGGGGAGACCTCACTGCAGTTACAACTTCCTCATGAGGGGAAGAGGAGGGGCAGGCACTGATCTCTGCTCTGTGCTGACCAGTGACAGGACCAAGGGAATGGCCTGAAGTTGTGTCAGGGGAGGTTTAGGTTGGATATTAGAAAAAGGTTCTTGCCCCAGAGAGTGGCTGGGCACTGGAACAGGCTCCCCAGGGCAGTGGTCACAGCACGAAGCCTGACAGAGTTCCAGAAGTATTTGGACAATACTCTCAGGCCCATGGTGTGACTCTTGGGGGTGGTCCTATGCAGGGACAGAAGCTGGACTCAAAGATCCTCGTAGGTCCCTTCCAGCTTGGCACAGTCTGTGATTGTGTGGTTCTGTAAAAAGTTACTCACCTATAGTGACTGCCAATGCAACACAACTCTGAATGGTATTTACTTTTCAAAACTCTTGCAGGCTTGGGAAATGCTGTATTTAAAAAGCCAACGGAGCCATCTAGTGTTTAAATTTAAAATTTGCAGTTCTATGTGTTTTGGACTTCTGTGTGCAGGAGCAAGATCCGGGTGCAATCTTATCAGTAAGAGAGGGAAAGCAGCTCATAGAGTTTCATATTAATCTCTGACAGCTCTTGATCCTTACAAACTGTACAGTTATTGTGCTGGAATTAAGAGTGTTAAATTGTAAGTGAAGATTTCTATTAATTCATTAGAGACACTCAAGATGAGAAAAAAGATTTTTCTGGTATTTATCCTTCATATTCTCATTTTCAGTTATACGCTTTTGTTTCTGCTTGGCATTTCAGTCCTCCCCATGCCTGTGCTGCTTTGTCACCTGCTGCTTCAGGGCATGGACTTGATCAGTTGGTTTCTGTGGGTTGACCTTTCCTTCTGTGAACTGTCCTTTTGGCAGCCTGGCCTCTCACATGCTCTGGAGTTGGTCAGAAATCTGTGAAGAGGCCACATCAAGCGTTTCCTACTTTTTTCCTCAAAATTCAGCACCAAACTTCAGTGGCTGTCATCTCCCTCCCCAGCAGTCAGCATGCAGGCAGGCACAGGAGACATGCACATGGATTGCACTAGGTTTGTTCCTCATCATTTCTCATGCTGAGCTCAGATATAACTGCTCCACATTTGTCACCCACAGTCATTTCCCCCTGTTACATGTTCACGTTGTCATTTCCTGCATCTGCAGACAACTTTTAGAGAAAAAGAAACATGATTTTTATGGTTATTTTTTAAATACTTGGGCTGGCTTTGTTCTCCTAATGTAACCTTGGAAGGTGAGTGCAAATGAACCAATGACCACAAACAGGCAAACCAGAATTTTGCAGCCCTATGGATTAAAAAAAGGGGGTCAGAGCAGAGCTGGGACCATGACTGAGCCAACCCAACATTCTGCTGGCACAGGAGGTGCAGGATGGAGGACAGAAGGAAAAGCCACTGATGTTTCTGAGGCAAAGCACCTCTTCCTGGGTCCATGTCAGAAGCCACTGTCCCAGAATCATTCTACTTTTTTTCCTTTTTGTCTTTCTTCTTTTTTTTTCCCTGTCCAAGTCTGGTCTAACCATATGGATTACCCAGACAGCATGCAGTGAATCACTTAAATCCCAGTGTCTGCCTAGCCATCCAGCATATGTGTAAATTCAAAGGTAGGGCAGGCTCTGGGGGACAAGAACTGATCTGACCTAACTTTAGATGTTTGAAAGACAGTTGACTAAATCTAAGCTGGTGTTCTAAAATTCTTTGTAGTCCATCAGTTGAAGCAAACACTGTCAAAAAAATAGTTTATTTTGGTCTCTGCATGGGTGCCTAAGGATGCTGGAGTCAATCCCACATGGCCAGCAAGAATTACTGAAAATCAGTTGCTTACCAGGAATCTCAGAGTGAGTCAGAATTATCTGAGTTCTTTTGGAAACTACTTCTGGATGGCCATTTTAGACTGGAGGGACTATGATTCTAAGAATCATTTAACAGCTGGACTCCTTTAAGGAGTTGCCCAGTGTGGTCAAGAAAGAAAACTGAGTGAGTCTTGTGCTTTATAAACCTGTTTTGGTTATCATTGGTGGTTCTTCTGCCCACTATATATTTAAAGGTTTTTAAAACATTGGGAGTTTTGTCAGTGGTAGTATTGCCAAAAGTCAAAATTAAGGTTCTGATAATATCACAGAGCGTTGCTGCTGTGTTATGTTTACTGAATCCCTTCAAAGGGACTATCGTATTATCACCGTGACCTCAAAAAAATGTTAGTCTTGTTTAATCATTAGAACAAAGAGCTGGAGGCCAGAAAGATCATAATACAACCATTAAGGACAGAGGAGAGCCAACAATGTGGTTCATAGAAAACAGAGACCACAAAAGACCTATCTGAGTCTGTGGAGTGTTTCCATTTTCCCCAGCTGATGTACTGCACAAACCCATCATAAATCCAGTTTCTCCAGAAGTGAAGTTTACATTAAAGCAGATCCTGTGCCAAGCTGTCCTGTTTACAAAGCTTTTGTCCACACGAGGAAATGGATGGGTACATGGCATAAGCTACTTCTGAGCTATTCTAAAAGCTGCAACTAGTTATTTAAGAGCAACTATTGTGGAATAGCTTATGCTACACTGGTTACACCCATCACTTTCCCTGGAGAGAAGAAAATCCATTGCAATATTCTAAATATGAACTCATTGTAAACTTTTCTTCAGGACTTCACAAATAGGCAACTTGAAATAATATTCTGAATGACATCAGTTGTCCTCGACCAGTTAACTCTAAAGACTAATGGCATGACTTGGAATGCTTAGCAAAACTTTGATTGGAGGCAATTAGAAATAAGCATGAGAAGAAAGAGGAATTATTACAGGGAGAAAAACTCCAAGGGAAGGGAAGAGAAAGACAGAGAAGCAAATGGAATGAATGAATAGCAACAGAAGGAAAACTGTAAAGAAAATCCAAGTGCAG